AGGGACGTGCAACAGAGGAATGACGTCGTTCATCCCCATAGTCCTGCCGACTCACGAATAGCGTGGCCTCCTCAAAGGGCCTGAGCAAGCGCAGGTGTCACGCATGAGCTGCCAATGGCTGACATCTAAGTTACACAGGGAGTACCTTTATCCGCTTTTTAACATCAGGAAATCTGTGATGGCCTTTTGCTGTTCGTAAAGGCGGTCTAACATATGTAGGGTTGAATTCCACGTTTGTTGCAACGTCACAGCATGAGGAGTCGGTACGGGGCCCATGGCAGATTACGGGCCTGGCAGCAGCAATGGGAGGCCCGTAATCTGCCAGCACCCTATGTCAAAAAATTCAACACACCAGCATGTGTGAGGAGACCTGAAAGTGGCACATGGCAGAGTGTGGCGATGGAGACAGCACAATGGGAGGCCGTACAGGGACCCATGAGAGACTCTGAACCTGGCAGCAGCATGAGGAGGCGTATATAGGGGCCTATGGGCAGATTAGGGGCCTGGCAGCAGCTATAGGAGGCCCGTAATCTGCCAGCACCCTATGTCAAAAAATTCAACACACCAACACCAGCAGTGTGTGAGGAGACCTGAAAGTGGCACATGGCAGAGTGTGGCGATGGAGACAGCAGCAATGGGAGCCGTACAGGGACCCATGAGAGACTCTGGACCTGGCAGCAGCATGAGGAGGCGGTATATAGGGGCCTATGGCAGATTAGGGGCCTGGCAGCAGCTATGGGAGGCCCGTAATCTGCCAGCACCCTATGTCAAAAAATTCAACACACCAGCAGTGTGAGGAGACCTGAAAGTGGCACATGGCAGAGTGTGGCGATGGAGACAGCAGCAATGGGAGGCGGTACAGGGACCCATGAGAGACTCTGGACCTGGCAGCAGCATGAGGAGGCGGTATATAGGGGCCCATGGCAGATTAGGGCCTGGCAGCAGCTATAGGAGGCCCGTAATCTGCCAGCAGCACCCTATGTCAAAAAATTCAACACACCAGCAGTGTGTGAGGAGACCTGAAAGTGGCACATGCAGCAGAGTGTGGCGATGGAGACAGCAGCAATGGGAGGCCGTACAGGGCCCCATGAGAGACTCTGGACCTGCAGCAGCATGAGGAGGCGGTATATAGGGGCCCATGGCAGATTAGGGGCCTGGCAGCAGCTATAGGAGGCCCGTAATCTGCCAGCACCCTATGTCAAAAAATTCAACACACCAGCAGTATGAGGAGAGACCTGAAAGTGGCACATGGCAGAGTGTGGGATGGAGACAGCAGCAATGGGAGGCCGTACAGGGACCCATGAGAGACTCTGGACACTGGCAGCAGCATGAGGAGGCGGTAATATAGGGGCCCATGGCAGATTAGGGGGCCTGGCAGCAGCTATAGGGAGGCCCGTAATCTGCCAGCACCCTATGTCAAAAAATTCAACACACCAGCAGTGTGTGAGGAGACCTGAAAGTGGGCACATGGCAGAGTGTGGCGATGGAGACAGCAGCAATGGGAGGCCGTATAGGGACCCATGAGAGACTCTGGACTTGGCAGCAGCATGAGGAGGCGGTATATAGGGGCCCATGGCAGATTAGGGCCTGGCAGCAGCTATGGAGGCCCGTAATCTGCCCAGCACCCTATGTCAAAAAATTGAAAACACCAAGCAGTGTGAGGAGACCTGAAAGTGGCACATGGCATGAGTGTGGCGATGGAGACAGCAGCAATGGGAGGCCGTATAGGGGACCCACATGCGACAGACTCTGGACAACTTGGCAGCAGCATGAGGAGGCGGTATAAGGGGCCCATGGCAGATTAGGGCCTGGCAGCAGCTATAGGAGGCCCGTAGGGAATCTGCCAGCACCCTATGTCAAAAAATTCTAACACACCAGCAGTGTGTGAGGAGACCTGAAAGTGGCACATGGCAAGAGTGTGGCGATGGAGACAGCAGCAATGTGAGGCCGTACAGGGACCCATGAGAGACTCTGGACCTGGCAGCAGCATGAGGCGAGGCGGTACTGGCCAATAGGGGACCCCCCCTATGGGGCAGATTAGGGTGCCTGGCAGCAGCTAGAAGGAGGCCCGTAATCTGCCAGCACCCTATGTCAAAAAATTCAACACACCAGCAGTGTGTGAGGAGACCTGAAAGTGGCACATGGCAGAGTGTGGCGATGGAGACAGCAGCAATGGGAGGCCGTATAGGGACCCATGAGAGACCTGGACTTGGCAGCAGCATGAGTAGGCGGTATATAAGGGGCCCATGGCAGATTGAGGGGGCCTGGCAGCAGCTATAGAGGCCCGTAATCTGCCAGCACCCTATGTCAAAAAATTCAACACACCAGCAGTGTGTGAGGAGACCTGAAAGTGGCACATGGCAGAGTGTGGCGATGGAGACAGCAATGTATAGGGACCATGAGAGACTCTGGACTTGAAGCAGCAGCATGAGGAGGCGGTATACAGGGCCTATGGCAGATTAGGGGCCTGGCAGCAGCTATGGGTAGGCCCGTAATCTGCCAGCACCCTATGACAAAAAATGGAACACACCAGCAGTGTGTGAGGAGCAAACCTGAAAGTATGGCACATGTTTGAGGCATGATCATGGCGGATTTAGTCAGTTGTGTCAGGAACTGGTGGGTTTGAAATCCAGACTAATCCACGCCTGATTCATTTTCACAAACGTGAGTCTCTCCACACTTTGGGTGGACAGTCGTGTCCTCCGCGGAGTTACAATACCTCCTGCCGCACTAAACACGCGCTCCGATGCCACGCTACTAGGCCGGCATGACAGCCCTTTCAAGGGCAAATTCAGCTAGTGGGGCCAAAGGTCAAGTTTCGTCGTTGCCCAGTAGTCAAGGGATTGTCTACCTCGGTTGGCATGGTGCTGTCCAAGTAGGCCTAAGCCTGATGTTTGAGGTCCCTGCTCCAGGTCCACCTGATGCTGCGCTGCTTGCGGCTGGTTAGTAGTTTCCTCACTGCGCTGGTGAAGAAAGCTACTCATCATCGACTTCCTGCAGACTGAGCAGCCGCTGCTGGTGAGCTGCCACTGCTCCTACCACCCCACCCCTCCCCTGCTGCCTGGCCAATGGCAGCGGAACGCGAGCGCACAGGGCCCACAGTGTCTGAGGATGGACGTTGGCCGCACAAAGGCAGCAGAGAACCAACTGACTACATAGGTGGTTTTTATAGTACGTTATTTGGGCCCCCTCTCCAGCAGGTGTGAAAAAGGCCACCATTTTTTGAACGGTAGCGAGGGTCCAACAAGGTGGACAGCCAAAAGTCATCCCTCTGTCTGATGCCATTATTATTCGGCTGTCGCTACGCACAGCAACCGAGCATGCTATGGGCCATTTGTGCCAAGGAATGCGAGGGACTCCCTGCCCCTCCATCTCCACAGCATACTAGGCCACGGTGCGTCTGGGTCCTCTGTCTCCTCCTCCTCCTCCTCTACCAGATGCTCCTGCTCCTCCACTCCTGTCCGCTGAGTGAAAAACCACCCATTTCACTCAATAATTCCTGAGCACAAATGTCCTCCTCTACCTCCTCCTCTTCTTCCTTGTCCCTGCCCCACAGGGGTCATGTGGCTTTGAGATCTGTGCGCCACGTCTATTGACCGCACCCTGACAGCTCCATTGTTAACAGCATTACGGTTCAAGGACGTGCAACAGAGGAATGACGTTCGTTCATTTCCCATAGTCCTGCCGACTCACGAATAGCGTGGCCCCTCCTCAAAGGGCCTGAGCAAGCTGGCAGGTGTCCACGCATGAGCTGCCAATGGCTGAACATCGAAGTTACACAGGGGAGTACCTTTATCCCAGCCCGTCCTCTTGTAACATCAGGAAATCGTGATGGCCTTTCTGCTGCTCGTAAAGGCTGTCTAACATGTGGAGGGTTGAATTCCCATCCACCTTGTTGCAACCTCGCAGATCAGGCGATGATGGTGGAATTCCGTTCTGCCGCTGCAGCTCAAGGAGGGTGTGCTTTGCGGTGTAGGAATGGCATTGAAATGCATGCAAAGTTTACGTGACATTTTAAGGATGTCTTACAGTGGGATGTGCAGCAGCTTTTAGGAACCGCTTGACAACCAGATAGAACACGAGTGAGCCCCTGCATGCGCATGGCACAACCTTCCTTGACGCAGAGCAGACACCATGCTCTTTTCCGTTGTCGGAACAACAGGTTTTCCGATTTTCAGTTTGCGCAGAGACAGCCATCGCCTGTCGATTTCTCTGATCATTACACTCAGGAAGTTCCTCCCTGTGAGTGACCATGTTCGCCTGGACCTGGCAGCAGCATGAGAGGCGGTATAGGGGCCCATGGCAGATTAGGGGCCTGGCAGCAGCTATAGTGAGGCCGCGTAATCTGCAGCACCCTATGTCAAAAAATTCAACACCACCAGCAGTGGCAGTGTGAGGAAGACCTGAAAGTGGCACATGGCATGCAGTAGAGACTGGTGGACCTGGCAGCAGCATGAGGAGGCGGTATAGGGGCCCATGGCAGATTAGGGGCCTGGCAGCAGCTATTGGGAGGCCCGTAATCTGCCAGCACCCTATGTCAAAAAATTCAACACACCAGCAGTGTGTGAGGAGACCTGAAAGTGGCACATGGCAGAGTGGTGGCGATGGAGACATGCAGCAATGGGGATGGTAGGCCGTACAGGGACCCATGACAGACTCTGGGTACCCTGGCAGCAGCATGAGGAGGCGGTATATAGGGGCCCATGGCAGATTAGGGGCCTGGCAGCAGCTATGGGATGGGCCCGTAATCTGCCCAGCAGCATGGCCCCTATGTCAAAAAATTCAACACACCACATGTGAGGAGACCTGAAAGTGGCACATGGCATGAGAACTGCAGAGACCTGGCAGCAGCATGATAGGAGGCGTAATAGGGGGGGCCCTATGGCAGATTAGGGCCTGGCAGCAGCTATGGGAGGCCCGTAATCTGCCAGCATCCTAATTGTCAAAAAAAAATTCAACACACCAGCAGTGTGTGAGGAGACCTGAAAGTGGCACCATGGCAGAGTGTGGCGATGGAGACAGCAGCAATGGGATGGCCGAACAGGGACCCATGACAGACTCTGGACCTGGCAGCAGCATGAGGAGGCGGTAAATAGGGCCCATGGCAGATTAGGGCCTGCAGCAGCTATATGGAGGCCCGTAATCTGCCAGCAATCCTAATGTCAAAAAAATTCAACACACCAGCAGTGTGAGGAGACCTGAAAGTGGCACATGGTGCATGAGAGACTGTGGACCTGGCAGCAGCATGAGGAGGCGGTAATAGGGGGCCCATGGCAGATTAGGGGCCTGGCAGCAGCTATGGGAGGCCCGTAATCTGCCAGCACCCTATGTCAAAAAATTCAACACACCAGCAGTGTGTGAGGAGACCTGAAAGTGGCACATGGCAGAGTGTGGCGATGGAGACAGCAGCAATGGGAGGCCGTACAGGGACCCATGAGAGACTCTGGAACTTGCAGCAGCATGAGGAGGCGGTATATAGGGGCCCATGGCAGATTAGGGGCCTGGCAGCAGCTATGTGGAGGCCCGTAATCTGCCAGCACCCTATGTCAAAAATTCAACACACCAGACAGTGTGAGGAGACCTGAAATGGCACATGGCATGAGAGACTGTGGACCTGGCAGCAGCATGAGGAGGCGGTAAATAGGGGCCCATGGCAGAATTAGGGGCCTGGCAGCAGCTATGGGAGGCCCGAATCTGCCAGCACCCTATGTCAAAAAATTCAACACACCAGCAGTGTGTGAGGAGACCTGAAAGTGGCACATGGCAGAGTGTGGCGATGGAGACAACCCACCGACTGTTTTGCTCGCTGCCAAGCTGCCACCCCTCTTCTCCTGATGATGCGGAAGCAATAGCCTGATGACGATGAGGCTGCCAAGTGCGATCAGCCTCACATCATCATCCGTTAGGGTCTCCGCCTCACTACTAGCCCCCTCGGCTGCGTGTGGGTCAGGAGACAGACCTGTCTCTACACCGGCTACCGAGCCACTCTCCTCTCGCCACTACTTCTTCGCCTGGCTGCTGAAGAGACGGATGTCTCCCCCCGTTCCTGACCGCCCTCTGTTTATGCTCTTCCTCACTGTACTGGATGACACCGGGGAGCACTAAGCCTCTGGCTGCGAATAGTGCTGCCTTGACCCCTTCCTCTGCTGCCACGTCTGCTCGCTCCTAAAAACATTGCCTCCTCTGCCACTCCTCTGCATGTTGTCTGACATACTCTTTAATTAAACGATTCTGTGTCCCTGAGTAACAATTCTGTGGCCCTAAGTAACGGTTCTGTGGCCCTCAGTAACAGTTCTGTGTCCCTGAGTAACAATCTGTGTCTGTGCAAGTAACAATTCTGTGGCCCTAAGTAACAGTTCTGTGGCCCTCAGTAACAATTCTGTGGCCCTAAGTAACGGTTCTGTGGCCCTCAGTAACAATTCTGTGTCCCTGTGTAACAATCTGTGTCTGTGCGAGTAACAATTCTGTGGCCCTAAGTAACAGTTTTACTTTTCTTTTTTTTCTGTGGCCCTCAGTAACAGTTCTGTGTTGTCCCTGAGTAACAATTCTGTGTCTGTGTGCGAGTAACAATTCTGTGGCCCTAAGTAACAGTTCTGTGGCCCTCAGTAACAGTTCTTGTGTCCCTGAGTAACAATTTCTGTGTCTGTGCGAGTAACAATTCTGTGGCCCTAAGTAACCAGTTCTGTGGCCCTCAGTAACAATTCTGTGTCCCTGAGTAACAATTCTGTGGCCCTAAGTAACGGTTCTGTGGCCTCAGTAACAATTCTGTGTCCCTGTGTAACAATTCTGTGTCTGTGCGAGTAACAATTCTGTGGCCCTAAGTAACGGTTCTGTGGCCCTCAGTAACAATTCTGTGTCCCTGAGTAACAATTCTGTGTCTGTGCGAGTAACAATTCTGTGGCCCTAAGTAACAGTTCTGTGGCCCCCAGTAACAGTTCTGTGTCCCTGAGTAACAATTCTGTGTCTGTGCGAGTAACAATTCTGTGGCCCTAAGTAACAGTTCTGTGGCCCTCAGTAACAATTCTGTGTCCCTGAGTAACAATTCTGTGGCCCTAAGTAACGGTTCTGTGGCCCTCAGTAACAATTCTGTGTCCCTGTGTAACAATTCTGTGTCTGTGCGAGTAACAATTCTGTGGCCCTAAGTAACAGTTCTGTGGCCCTCAGTAACAGTTCTGTGTCCCTGAGTAACAAATTCTGTGTCTGTGCGAGTAACAATTCTGTGGCCCTAAGTAACAGTTTCTGTGGCCCTCAGTAACAATTCTGTGTCCCTGAGTAACAATTCTGTGGCCCTAAGTAACGGTTCTGTGGCTCTCAGTAACAATTCTGTGTCCCTGTGTAACAATTCTGTGTCTGTGCGAGTAACAATTCTGTGGCCCTAAGTAACAGTTCTGTGGCCCTCAGTAACAGTTCTGTGTCCCTGAGTAACAATTCTGTGTCTGTGCGAGTAACAATTCTGTGGCCCTAAGTAACAGTTCTGTGGCCCTCAGTAACAATTCTGTGTCCCTGAGTAACAATTCTGTGGCCCTAAGTAACGGTTCTGTGGCCCTTCATAACAATTCTGTGTCCCTGTGTAACAATTCTGTGTCTGTGCGAGTAACAATTCTGTGGCCCCTAAGTAACGGTTCTGTGGCCCTCAGTAACAATTCTGTGTCCTGAGTAACAATTCTGTGTCTGTGCGAGTAACAATTCTGTGGCCCTAAGTAACAGTTCTGTGGCCCTCAGTAACAATTCTGTGTCTGTCCCTGAGTAACAATTCTGTGGCCCAGTAACAAACTAAAGTCTTTCTGTTCTGTGGCCCTAAGTAACAGTTCTGTGGCCCTCAGTAACAATTCTGTGTCTGTCCCTGAGTAACAATTCTGTGGGCCCTAACTAAAGTTTCTGTGGCCCTAAGTAACAATTCTCTGGCACTCAGTACAATTCTGTCTGTCCCTGAGTAACAATTGGCCCTAAAGTTTCTGTGGCCCTAAGTAACAATTCTTTCTGTGGCCCTAAGTAACAGTTCTGTGGCCCTCAGTGGCCCTCAACAATTCTGTGTCTGTCCCTGAGTAACAATTCTGTGGCCCTAACTAAAGTTTCTGTGGCCCTAAGTAACAAATTCTCTGGCACTCAGTAACAATTCTGTCTGTCCCTGAGTAACAATTCTGTGGCCCTAATAACGTTTTCTGTGGCCCTAAGTAACAATTCTCTGGCACTCAGTAACAATTCTGTCTGTCCCTGAGTAAGAATTCTGTGGCCCTAACTAGCGTTTCTTTGTCCCTAAGTAACGATTCTGTGGCCCTCATTAACAATTCTGTGTCCCTGAGTAATGGTTCTCTGTCCCTAAGTAACGTTTCTCTGTCCCCAAGTATCGTTTCTGTGGCCCTAACTCTGTCCCTAATACAGAGCGGTCTGCCTCTGTTCAATGACTGCAGGCAAATGAAGAATTCCAAAATGGCCGCTATTTATAGCTCGACCATTACACAGTGCTGGCTGGCTGGCTGCTGATTGGCTGATGCGATCACATGTCATTGAGGGAATGCATTATGGGTCAGCGCGCCTTGTCTGCGTGCCTTCCCAGACATCCCCGCTCCGTCGCCGCACATGTCCGCCGCCATTTTCGGAAAAATTTCGATTCGCGCGTCCGAAGTAGGCTATTTTTTCGGATTCGGAATTTTTCCGATATTCGACTCGAATTCCACTTCGGCTACTTCGATTCGCTCATCTCTAGTGTCTTCACTACAGGAGGACAATGGGAAGCAATTGAACCCCCTAGGTTTATTCCTTGCCCCCCCCATGTGTCCCCCGCTAAATTAGGCTACCGGGCAGTGTCTCCCGGGTTGCAGTGAGCTGGCCATGGCATTCCATCACCTGGGGAGGGGTTAACAAGTGGAACAGGGCCCAGCTGTCATCATAGGCAGTATCGGGGCCCCTCCTGCATGTCCAAGCACCAGTCCACCCACTGGAGCTGCTAGGGGGGTGAAAACTGCACCCAGGTGACACTCACCAGAGAGGTAACACCCAGGGCTGTCTTTAACGTGGGGCAAAAGGGTGCATGGAGGACCTGGAATTCAGAGGACAAACATATAACTTCCTCCTCCAGAGCTGCTCCGCCTCTAGTGCTGTACTTCCTGGCTCCGGGCTTGCTGCTGACAACGGAAAGGGCTGGGAGGCTGAAGGGACCTGCCAGCTGGACACTGCTGTTGAGCTGACTGGCTGGAAATCTGAGGGGACCTGCATGCTGTCTGGACCGGAACACTGCTGCTAATGGAAATGAGGGTCTATGGGGGGAAAGTAAGCAGAGGGGTCTGGCTCCCTCAGCTGCACACAGAGGAAGGGGGAGCGGACAGGGATCACACAGGTGTACTCTAGAGGGAGGAAGGACAGGCTCCCCCAGGTCCTAGAGCTGTGTACACTGACAGTAACATCACCACACCATCCACAGTACTTGTACTATGTCTGCAGTCTCTGATCCTCTCCTGTAGTATTTATGCAGTCTCTGATCTTCTCTTTTAAAATGTCTGCAATCTCTGATTATCTCCTGTAGTATGTCTGCAGTGTCTCTCATCATCTCCTGTAATATGTCTGCATTCTCTAACCATCTCCTATAGTATTGTTGCAGTCTCTGAGCCTCTCCTGTAGTATGTCTGCAGTCTCTGACCATCTCCTGTAGTATGTCCACAGTCTCTGATGATCTCCTATAGTATGTCTACAGTCTCTGATGATCTCCTATAGTATGTCCACAGTCTCTGATGATCTCCTATAGTAGTATGTCCACAGTCTCTGATGATCTCCTATAGTATGTCTACAGTCTCTGATGATCTCCTATAGTATGTCTACAGTCTCTGATCATCCCTTATAGTATGTCTGTAGTTTCTGTCTCCTGTACTATGTCTGCAGTCACTGACCATCTCCTGTAGTATTTCCACAGTCTCTGATAATCTCGTATAGTATGTCTGCAGTCTGTGATCATCCCCTGTAGTATGTCTGTAGTTTCTGACTGTCTCCTGTACTATGTCTGCAGTCTCTGACCATCTCCTTTAGTATGTCTGCAGTCTCCGTTCCTCCTCTTCTGTACTATGTCTGCCGTCTCTGACCCTCTCCTTTTGTATTTCTGCAGTCTTTGATCCTCTCCTGTAATATTTCTGCAGACCCTGAGAGTTTTCCTCTCTTTCTCAGGTCTGAAGCAAAGAAAGGAAAACTCTTCAAAGCTTGTCTTTTAAGTGTTAGTGTAGCACTACTCCCATAGGAGTTTCTGAATTGTTTTCGGGTTCCCTGTGGATCTGGACCCCTCTCTGAAAGCCCAACCCCTGCTAACACCACGGTATACTCCTAACTTGAATGAATCACCACCAGAAAGTAAGCTCACACACGGATTGAAGTAAGCTAGGAATAGGTTTATAGCAAACTTCAATATGACTTGGTTACACAGCATAAATAAAATTGGCATATGGAAAAGCAATTGTTAATTGTATCAGTATGGACTTAACAAAAACACAACACCTATCACAGAATTTCAGTTAGTGTTAGCAGGCCTGCTTTTCAGAAACAAACCCAATACCTTCAACCTGAGGTGGTCTTACAGTCCCCAGTGAGCAGCTAGGACTAACAAACAGGTAGACTAGTTCACTGTGGACCCTCAGGACCTGATAGCAAGGAGATAAGGAAAAAAGCTCTTTACCCCAAAACAACCA